GCTGTTATTAGAGGCAGAGCTCCAAGCAATCAAGAAAACTCTGAGAGAGAAGTGTGAGTCATACACCAAAACCAAATGTACCTGAAGAAACTAGTAGTGTTATACACAACCTCATAATGACTTTATTTCTGTTATGATTGTTGCTGTTGATCTGGTTATTACCTTTCTCACTTAAAAAAAAAAACCCTGTGGCAACAACTACAAAAATATTATTTGCTTGCATTATTCTTTAGGTGGTTCCTGTGCTGGAGGCAGCAAGTACTTACAATCGCTCAGTACATAATGGAGAAATTCATTCCAATAATAATAATAACAACATTTATTATTTTTGAAATACAAGTCTGATGAATGTATGAATATAGAAAGCTGTTGTAGCTGGCTCTTTGTGAAACGGTAATAAAATCAAGTGTGATTTTCTAATAGACTTCTGCTGCAAATTTCAAATGCACTTATTCCAAAAGTGCATTCATTACAGTTCAGCTCCTAGTCCTTGGGTCACCCTGGGGGTTTGGAGAGGAGGACTCTGCTGGAAGCAAACATAGGCCCCAGGCAATGACTATGTCGTGTTGGAAGCAGTTTATATGTCATGGGCATGTTGCAGAGTCTGTCCCTACCATGCCTTTTGATCCACCCTCTAGCAATGACAGCAGTAAGATCAGGCATGCCTACTCACACAGTGCGCAGGCAGCTTTTTCTTTCTGATGTTATTCAGGAGACGGCTTCAGCCACCCCATCACCTATGGAGTAGAGCACTCAGAGGGCATGGCAGAGCAGGGGTTCAGCTCCAGGCAGACCAAACTGCTGAGGCCACTGTGTTGGCAGAGCATTTATGAATGTTTGTTATCCTATTATAAAAAGCCCTGGGAATGTGAGCTGGCTTGTGATGAGGAAGACTCTCTTTCTTGCAGGCCCAGTGATCTCTTGTGTGGAGTTTTATCGTTCTCCAACGTGTCTCTTCAGGGGCAGAGCTTGGGAGCTGTGTGGGTACAGAGAACTTGGGCTCTAGCAAAATAATGCCTGTAGTAGTGCTACAACCTGGGGGGATTTGCTCTCAACTGCCCTGCTTGGATACTAACGACAGGTGAGGAGTTGACGGGCTCTGTTTCTCAGGGATTTCTGCCTTGCAGGGACTGCAGGATTGAGCAGACTGAACTGCAGTGGCTGAAATATAATTTGTAGTGTGTTAAACTGGTAGTTTACAATGGTTCTGGTCAGAGGTAATGGAACTGGTTTTAATGGGAGGGAGATTTTTAGAAAGTGTTTTTTGCCAAGTGAGGCCTAAAAGGTCTAATGGTGTTTGCCTTCTGATACAGCTTCATAAAAATCCTGTGCTATGTAATGCCAGACTTGAAAGCACAGAATCACAGAACGGTTGAGGTTGGAAGGGACCTCTGGAGATCATCTAGTCCAACCCCCCTGCTCAAGCACGGTCACCTAGAGCACATTGCCCAGCATTGTGTCCAGATAGCTTTTGAATAGCTCCAGGAAAGGATATTCTACAACCTCCTTGGGCAACCTATTCCAGTGCTCAGTCACCCTCACAGGAAAGTTTTTCCTCATGTTCAGATGGACGTTCTTGTATTTCAGTTTGTGCCCGTTGCCTCTTGACTTATTGCTGGGCACCCCTGAGAGGAGTCTGGCCCCTTCCTCTTTACGCCCTCCCTTCAGATATTTAGACACATTGATAAGATCCTTCCTCGATTTCTCTTCTCCACGCTTAACAGGCCCAGCTCTCGCAGCCTTTCTTCAGAGGAGAGATGCTCCAGTCCCCTCATCCTCTTTGGAGCCCTTTGCTGGACTCTCTCCAGTAGAGCCAGGTCTCTCTTGGACTGGGGAGCCCAGAACTGGACACAGTACTCCAGGTGAGGCCTCCCCAGGGCTGAGGAGAGGGGCAGGATCACCTCCCTCCACCTGCTGGCAACACTCTGCCTAATGCAGCCCAGGATACCCTTGGCCTTCTTTGTCACAAGGGTACATTGCTGGATCATGGTCACTTGTCCACCAGGACTCCCAGGTCCTTCTCTGCAGAGCTGCTTTCCAGCGGGTCAGCCCCCAGCCTGTACTGGTGCATGGAGTTATTCCTCCCTAGGTGCAGGACCCTGCACTTGCCTTCATTGAATTTCATGATCTTCCTCTCTGCCCAGCCCTCCAGCCTGTCCAGGTCCCTCTGAACAGCAGCACAGCCCTCTGGCGTGTGAGCCACTCCTCCCTGTTTTGTATCATCAGCGAATTTTCAGAGGGTGCACTCTGTCCTTTCATCCAGGTCAATAGTGAATAAGTTGAACAGTCCTGGACCCGCTGAGCCCTGGTGTACACCACTAACTACAGGCCTGCAACTAGACTTTGTGCCACTCATCACAACCCTCTGAGCTCTGCCATTCAGCCAATTTCAATCCACCTCACTGTCTGCTCATCTAACTTGTACTTCCTCAGCTTGCCTATGATGATGTTATGGGAGACAGTGTCAAAAGCCTTCCTGAAGCTGACATAAACAACATTCACTGCTCTCCCCTCATCTACCCAGCCAGTCATTCCATCAGAGGAGGCATTCAGGTTGGTTAAGCATGATTTCCCCTTTGTGAATCCATGCTGACTACTCCTCATCACCTTCTTATCCTTCATATGCTTGGAAATGGTGTCCAGGATGAGAGCTCCATCACTTTTCCAGGGAACGAGGTGAGGCTAACTGGCCTGTAGTAGCACTGCTAACCAAACTGTCCTATTCTTTACAGTGTTGGCAATAGCATGTCTTCAGTGAACAGCCTTTTTTTTAAAAAAAAAAGGTCTGTCCAATACAAAAAAGCAGTTAAAATCATATCAGGATTTTAGGGAACTAACAGATGATATATAAATTAATAACATAGAGACTGACTAAATTAAAGTGGAGGAAGGCTATAATAACACACATGCATTTGCAGGGTGTGGTATCATCAGGAGCTGGTGAGTTCCAGAAAGCTTAACAAAGTAAAATTAGGCATATAAAAGTAAATGCTTCTATTATTGTAGATATGATGGCTGCCTTTTTAGTTGTTATGCTTGCTTTATCACTAAAGCTGTATGGACATTACAAGCATTAGAAATATAAATATGGAAACATTTAAGCACAAATACATTGCTTTACAATAGCTTGTAACTTGGCACAATGCAGCTCCCTGCATTCCTTTGTCTGATATTTTTTCCTCCATATTTTAGTCCCTACCACCCTGCCTTCCACTGAGTTGACCGACAAGCTCGCCTCTGGGAGGTGTAACTCTGGGTCTCTCTGTTTATGGACAAAGTGATATGAGCTTCACTCCTTCTCTGTCCTCATGCTCATAAGGTATAAGCAGTTTAATATTTCTGAAGCGATAGCTACTGATTTTTGGTAGATTAACTAAGAAAGCATTATTTCATAACTTCTCTGTTGCTCAAAAGGAGCGAATGTGTTTTCTGCAAAATTGGTATAATTCTAAAAAAAAACTTCAACCTTTTAGTAAATGGCAAAGATTATACATGCCAGCAATTAACAACAGCAAGTGGGATGCCTAACAGGTTTAGCATTTGAAGTGAATAAGAGCAAATCCACACACGTTTCTCTCTGTATTAGTGAACATCCCCACTGGTCCTCCAGAGGCTTTACTTGCAGCTGGGCCCCTTGGGGCAATAAAGCGTAACCCCATACAGGGCTGCATTAGCAAGAGCATAGCCAGCAAGTCAGGGGAAGTGTTTCTTCTCCATGTCTCAGCGCTTGTGGGGCCCTAGCTGGATACTGCATCCAGTTTTGTCCCCCATCCAAGTAAAAGAAAGGTGTTCACAAACCAGAGAGGGTATAGGGGAAGGCCACCAGGATGATTATGGAGCACATGATGTGTGAGGGGAGTCCGAAGGACTTGAGTTTGCTCAATCCAGAAAAGAGAAGGTGAAGCGGGGATTCTAATAGCTGTCTACCACTATTTAATGGAGTTTGTAGGGAAGACAGAGACGGTCTCCTCTTAGAAGTGTACAGCAACATGATGAAAGGCAAGAGAATTTCCAGTATTCACCCTGAGGGTGGTTAAGCACTGGGGCAGGCACTCAGAGAGGTCAGGGTGTCTCCATCGTTTGACTATTCAAAGCCCGGCTGCACAAGGCCCTGAGTAACCTGCTCTAACTTTAACATTGGCCCAGCTTTGAACAGGGGGTTGAATGAGAGACCTCCAGAGGTCCCTTCCACCTTCAGCTGTTCCTTGAAACCTTAAGTCCTGCTCCTACTGTGGACTAAGTGGAATAGAAAGCTCATTGCTGGCTAGTGCCCTCTGAAAGCACATGCTGTTGTCAGAGTGATACAAACGGAAAGCTGGGTTTCACCAGTTCACAAGGGAGAAGAGCTCTCACTTCCTGCTGCTGTACTGCCATGCACCACCAACCACAGCTCCCAAAGGGCACCAGAGTGACATATCCAAGAAACAATATGCACTCTTGTCATTTTTTTCCCTGTGTGAAACATCAAACCCAAGGGCTGGAGAAGCCTATAAAGAAATATCCGGCAGCTAAAGAGCATAAGCCACGTCTTCCACTTGATCAAAACAGAGCATGGACGGTGTAGCAATTTCAAAAGGATCGTGCTCTCTGATCCCTCCAGGGCTTCAGCTGTATGAGGACAACCAAACACCGACGCTGGGGTGTCTCCCCCAGTCGGCCTGCTGGCTGTGCAGCGGGAGGCTGTCTAGCAACAGCTGCCGGCACAGCTGGGCTCTCTGCCTCTGAGAGCCTTTAGCAATATTACATGAATATGACAATACTATTTCCAGATTTTAACGTCATAACGCCCCAAGATGGCCATCAGTAGGACTAACATTTTCTAGAAAGAGGTCTTTGTTGCCATTTAGGCAAATGACAGCATACATAGGCTCATTTCAAATGACTGTCTGTGTTTAAGAAGAGAGATATGAGAAGTGTGAGTGGCTGATAAGGTACTAAGGAACTTATCTAGACTCTATACTTGGCAGTGGTCACAGGCACAGACCTTAGAGGCAGGTAGAATGCCCCTGGTAAGTGTTAGGAAACAAGCTATTATTTAATATTATTTAATAACCAGTTTTTGGCAGTGGTGGGAGTCTGTACAGAAATGCTGTAGTGCTTTAAACTGCAACAGGAATGCCAATGCCCATGCACTTGCCTTCAGGCCCTGGCTTCTCCATTCTGAATGGGTGAAAAAAACATCCTTTCGAATGTTAAGCCCAATGTTACTATTGCCAAATCCAGAGGGAAGGCTGGTGGGTTAGCAGAGAGCAGTGTTCAGCCACTGCTGAAGTGTCCTCAGGCAGCCAGGCCAATGCACCTCTCTTTTTGGAGATCTCAGAGCAGATATGTTTCATCTTTTATAGAGCAAAATCAAAGCTGATTCCCAAGCTCAGGAGTGAAATGAATCACGTATCAGACGCTGAACGTGTGTAGCCCAAGACACTGGATGAACTGCTAGAAGAGACCAACATTGCATGTGAGCCAAAACTGAGCAGGTAGGCTATAGGACGAAGCTGGCATAAACTTTTTCTGAAAACTGTGGTGGGTCTCCCATGCCTACCAGGTGGTTTCTGGTATGGCTAAAACATTGCTTGGTACTTGCTGGATGCATGCAGAGGTGAGGAGGAAGCATGACTTTTGGACTAGACCACCTTGCTGGGAGCTGGGACCTCTGGGTCTGGGGCCTTGGTTTGCTACAGGCTGTTTTTATGACACCGTGATGGTGGTGGGGAGTGATTTCACCTCTCTTGGCTCAGCTGCCAAAACCTTGGAGAAGCAGCAGGACCCAGGCCAGCGTCAGCCCATGGATTCCCATCGCTCTGGGCTCCCCATGCAGTGAAGAAATGGGTTCCTCTAGAGGGCAATGCAGAGCAGGACCAGGATTTCAGTGGCTCCGTGTATTTTATTTTTCTGTGCGTGTGTGCACGTGGGTGTAAAGCACGCAGCGATCTCAGTGCGACTGACTCGGCCACACACTTTCTGCCAGAGCAGCTCTGTGCCTGTGGCCCCGGCTCAGTGTGCACCAGGTTCACCACCCTGTGGGTGCCTGCTCTCTTGGGCCCGCGCAGTCGTCCCAGCACCTTTCCGATAGGCTCGTGCTGGCTTGGTGGGTTGCAGGTCAGCCTAACACAGTGGTTTCTGTCCCACTGCGCCCTGAAGCCGGAGAAAGGAGAAGAGACACAGCGAGAGGCTGGAAGCTCACAGGATCCCAGTAGCAGGGGGTGGAGAAGGGGGTGCAAAGAGGTTTGCCTCCATTAGTCTGGCATTTTGCCGAGTGACAGGATGATTCCAGTCCCCAAAAGGAGATTTCTGGTACAAAAACCTGTGTTTAGGAGATCAGAGCCCAACCAAATGCCTATAAAGCCTGCAGGGAGGTGCAGCGGATAGATAAAAGAATGGCCTAAGACAAATAACGCTGTTTTTGCCTTAAAATTTTTCCCAGATGCTCCCTGTCCAAGATTGTGGGTAGTGTAGGGTGTATTCTTGTGCAGCCACCTCATTCAGTTCGCTCGTCTCTCTCCTGCAGGCTGAGCCCCGAGCGCATTTTGTTTTTCCTATGGCAATTAATTTGGGTCATGTTGGCTGTTCTGGCCGCTTTGTCTGCCCCGCCATCCTCTGCATGCCATCTCCATCCTGCTAAATCCAGCTGTCCAGGAAGCTGCACCTTCCCAGCGTGCTGCTGCCGCGTGCACGCTGCCGACCGATGCGTGCACACTCGCAGAAAAGCCTTCTCGTGCTCATACTTACCTGAATCTGAAATGACTGTTTCCCTCATCAGGTTGGCGATATGCAACGCTCCGGGCTATAATTTGACACCGTCCCTTCTTGCAGCGGTGGGACGCATAAGAAATTCCTCTTCTAACTCCGGGGCCAAGGGGGGTCAGTGGCACATCAGGGCGATTAGTGAATCGGTGTAGTAGGGGGACGCTTTCATGTTTGGCCGGTGCTGTGCAAGATAAAAGCCAGGATGAAACTTAATAACAGATACCATCTGTTTCTGTGCATGCCCCCATGTTAATAAATAAATGTATTCTGTAGGCTTGGCCGACGATACATATGTGCACTGAGAAAGGAAAGTATTCATCTCGGGAGGAACTCACTGCTTCAGGGGCTGCACGCAGATCGTCCTATTTCCTTGAGATTAAGTTGGAAAAGATAGGCCTGGAAAAGCATTGGGTGAAGCAAATGTGCCCACCTAGGTATTTCTGCCTCCTTCCCGAGGAGAGCCGAGGCGTGTCTGTCAGGGCTTCTTGCCCGCGACGTCATTGCCGGAGGAATTTTTTTGTAATTCGAGCCCTCCTTGCATTTTTGCCCAGGGCATTATCTGCTGATTAGGCTCAGAATATCTAGATAGCTTTCCGTGGAGACTGTTTGCTTTGCCTTGCTGCGGCAACATTAACCAGTTTTACATCCTCCACGAGCTTTCTGCAGCAGGAAACATGTACTCGGGAGCGCAAACAAAGCCGGGGGCAGGCCCACGGCACTTTGCTCCCAGAGGCTGGGCAAGGTGGGGTGCCCGAGAACGGGCGAGAAGCAGAGCAAACGGGCACACCCTGGCAGATCAGATGGCTGATTTTTAAGGGCAGGCAGACTGACGGTTTGCTGCCTTCCTCTCCGCATGTCCTTGCACCACCAGCATCTGCGGAGAGGATCGGCTGGGCAAGATGCGATTGCTGTCGGTGAACAGAGACAGAATTTCTGGGTGGCGAATGGGCATTTTTACCTTCTTACCTGCGTGCTTTACTGCCTCCATTTCAGTCCTTGCAGGGGGAAAGCTCTGGGGTCACAGGGTGGCTGGTTCTGCCCAAATCCTTTTGTGCAATGTGCAGGGCCGTTGACAGCCGCTTGGCTGCACAAACCTTCCAGCCCTGCTAGTAGATCTGCCCCTGACATGCACCCTTTCCCCAAGTCAGGAAGAGAAGAGGAAAAGGCGCTGGAGGGGAAGTGCAAAGAGCCAGAACAGGGCTGTAGGCTGGCTCTGAAATGCCGAGGGTGACCGGGAGTGGGGGGTTTGCATCGCTGTCCCAGCAGGTGCTCTGGCCTCCTTGCACCTTGCAATGCTAGCGCAGCTCAGCTAAAGGCACAGGGTGCAAGCAGCACTCGGGAGCAATTATCAAGTGGATGGTCTCCCCGGGCAAGTCCAGGACAGCGGAGGGGAGATGGGAGGCATTTGGGATTGGAGGTGCGATGCAGCAGGGATTTATCCATGGCACTGCAGCTCCATTACAACAAGTTCTGCTTCCGACAGGGCTATCCCAGCACAGGATGCTTACTGCAAGTCAATACGCTGCCGCTGTCCTCCTGGAGGGTTTTCTGAGGTCTCTACTGAAAACTTGTCAACACAGACACACTCAGCGTCCAAATGGACTGGGGCTACTTAAAAGCAACGAGAGAAACATGTCAAATTCCACAGCCTTTTCATTCAGAATAAAAGAGACCACAATCTGGCTGACTCTTCATATTGCCAACGTGAATTAATCCTCATTAAGTCCAGCCATACAGGCACCTAATGCTTTTAGGCTAATGGTAAAGCATCGCTTGGATTAAATAAACTCTGTGTGCTAGCAGAGATGAGCTCAAGCCTGCTGGATCCCAGTGATGGGAAAGCCCGAGGACATCCTGGCAGTCTGACGTGGCTCACCCCAGCTCTGGGGTGCCCGATAATGCTCCTGTGCCACCCAGGGCGTCCTCCTCCCTGCAGCGGGGACAGGTTGTGGGCACAGGCAGAGGCTCTGCCCTGTCACCAAACCCCCCTGCCTGAAGCATCTATAACCAGGAGCTGGACAGGTATCTGAGCTCGTTAGTCAGTTACGGACATGTGGTGTTGTCTGGGACGTATTTGCGTGTAAGGCCCTGTTGCAAAGCCTTCCTTGGAAGTGTTCATAGCATTGCATGCTGCTCTACCAAAGTCTCATTTTGTAAGGCAAAGACATCTAAGATTTGGTGCAAAGCACCATCCGTAAGCACAGTTCTAGATACAAAGCAAAAAGGCTAAATATGCTCTAAACCACCTGCTGTCCAGACAGACACAAGTAAAATAGCACCCCAAAAAGGTGCAAACAGTCTGTCTTGTGGTGCCCACTTGGCTCAGATCCACCAGTACCTCGTTACACTTGTAAAGTGGCAGGCCTTGTGTTTGCCCCTCCGAAAGACCTTGCTGCAGATGAGGCATGTATGCCCCCTCATTCCTGCACCCTTGGAAATGTAGCGCTAGCTGTTTCCTTGGCGTTATCTCAGCGCACCACGAATGCAAACACCGGAGCTGGTGGAGAGCAAGCCATGAGTCTGCTCCAAGCCCTGGCAGGTGAGAAGTTAGTGGAGAGGCAGCGCACCTTCTCTGGCGCTAGCAAAGGGCTCTCTGCCGACTGTGGATACTTTCCAGCGTGGTTCAGTTTGGTTTTGCTTCCCAACAGACTGCATGCTTTGCTTGGCTTTTCCAGCAAAGAGGTGAGTTTTGATTTATCTATAAACATGTCAGGTTGTAGAACTGGAAAGCAAACGAAAACTAGTGCGGTAGGAAGCCCCTTAGCTTGTGTTCTTTGCTGTGGGTTTAAACAGCTGCCGTTAATTACACTGTGTAATGAATATGTTATATTCTACAGGTTTCAGAATATGTTATATTCTTCAGGTTTATCAATTTCCATTTGATAAAGGTTTCCAAATGCGCCTGGCATTAAATCTGGAATGAAGCTGGCTTTGAAGTACACACACGTGCACTAACTTGATTGTAGCTGTAATTTACTTGAGCAGTTTCGGTAGCGACATGAAAGAAAGCCTATGCACGTTCAAGTGATGCCATGTGTATTACAAGTGGTGACTGCCTGGGGCTTAGGCTCTGCCGGGAGAAATAAGGACAATGACCAAGTCTGATGAATGCAAACTCAAATGCAAAACCCACCGAATCATTCAGGCTTTTCCCACAAAGTCTCTGTTCTCAAAGGAAAGCTGCAGTGTCAGGGGATAGGTAAGAGCAGGGAATCTCTCTTTTGAATAACGAGAGATGCCCAGCAACTGTGCAGGTGAGGATTAGGGTGACAGCTGAGTCTGCCCTTGCTGGAGAAGTGCGATACAGGTATTATTTGCCTGCAGTGCAGAAACAATAATTCATAGTGCAGGTGACTCCCTTCAGAGAGTCAAAAAGGCAAATCAGATCTGAACCAAAGGACTGTGGAAACTGAAAGCTGTGGTCACTGTTATTTTTTATCTAAAAAATTGCTTTGCCAGACGAAGAGAATGCTTACTCCCTGAGTTAGCTGAGCCCATGTCCTGAATTTAGTCTTAAAACTGGAGAGACTGGGGTGGTGAAGAGCTCATGTGAATGCAGCCTGCTCTCTCTCCCTCTTTGCATGCTGTGTGGATGGTTCGAGATACCCTTTTATTAGCAAATGCAATCGAAAGAGCTTGGGGAAGATTCCTCCGTGGGGACTGGCCGAATCCTTAGGAGCTGTGCGGGCAGGCGATCCCCAGGCACGGCTCCCTCCTCCGCCCAGCAATCCCCGCTCCGTGGGCTCTGCCACCACGGGTTGGGGAGCAGGGGACATGTGGGTCGCTCTGCCAGCTCCGTTTGCACCCCGGCAAGGCACCTGAGCAGCCTCATTGACTCGCTCCAGTGCCGTTTACTGAAAAATCTTACTCTACCTTTCTTCGCCACGTGTCTTGCGGGCAACTCGGAGGAATTATCACACAGCACTAACAGCGCTGTAACGCACCGGCATTCATAGTAATCTTGCTTGTAGTCTCCCACCCATTTTCATACTGCACTTGAAATACTGAAATTGCCCAGAGAAAGGAAATATCTTTACAAGACGGGCCATCAAGCCAGCATGCTGTCTGCAGCCTCCAAAAAAGCAACCCACTCAGCAGGGTAATCTATTCAATGCCTCGGATTTATTTTTAACATGCAGTTCTGCAGTCCTTTTAACTTGAGCAGGGAAGTGAACATTTTGATAACAGCAGCCTCCAGGTCAAATGTGATGAGAATTCATAACTCACCACATAGTGGTTTTGGAAAACCAACCAAGCAAAACAATTTCCCAGAATAAGGCGATGAAGATTCGCATTTTTCTTCACAATGTCGTACATAGAGCTGATAACTGTTGGAGTGTCTACTTATTCTCTCTCTCCAATTTGCAAATAAAATGCCTTCTGGACTATTTTAAATTTGAACGGCTATTGCAACCATAGCTTTGCTAGGCTCCTCATAAAGAATTGAGACATCGGATCTTTAGGCCATCAAAGGAGAAATATTAATCCAGTAATGGGAATATTCTGATGTTCCTATTTCTAATCAAAGAAAACCCTCGGGTTTTCTGCTTCAAGCAAACATAGCCACGAGAGTGGCATCAAGGTTTTTAAATTGCAGGGGACGTAGGGAGGGTGCTCCGGTCCCTGAACCTCACTGGAACAACACAGGAGCAAGGATAGACCCAGTTTAGTTCAGAGCTTGGATCTGAGGAAAATAAACATGAAGATCTGGCCAAGCTGAGATTGATGAGGAAGGAACTTCAAGGAAGCAACTTTTTATTTTCATATGATCTTGAAAGAACTGGAAATATCTCAGAAGCATGTGTCTGAGAAAGAGACTGAAAGGGAATCTGGAAGGAAATTTTGTATTTCAAATGATGTAATTCAGTTTAATTTTGTTTCTTCTGCTATTTCCCGCACCCTCTTACGCCCAATCTCATCAGTAGGCTCAGTAACTGGTATTTCTATCACACCTAAAGTCTGCTAGGGCTGCTGTGCTCTGCAGCATGTTCTGCTTTATCTGGAGGCTCAAGAACGAGTAATTTCCAAACTCTTTGTATTTGCTCTCTGTTCCCTGTCTTCCATCCAAATTCGATACCTGAAGGGAGGCCCTAGCGGCAGGGTGCTAGCTTTTACAGCAAGGGCAGAGGCTCCTCTGCAGAGTGTTGGAAAAGTGAGAAAAAAGCGGGAGACCAAGAGAAAGAAACAAAAACCTTCACCCTGACATTTTCTCCCATGCTATCGCAGGAGCCTGGGGCATAATGACAAACTCTGTATGCCGTAGCAATGGAAAATAGCCAAATTTTCTATGCAGCCCAGAAAGCTGTACTGATGGGAACAGCCCTTGCTTTTAATATTTAATTCAATGAGATCAGTCTCTTAAAAATGGATCAGAAGCTGCCACAATTTCAAGCACATGCTCAGCACTTCCAGGGGAATGTCCATGGGGTTTGCTATGCTGTGGACTTACCTATATTCTGACCGGGTTACATGGTAATGTGTCTCATTAACTAACCGAGCGCACACAGCTGTGGCTCCTTCCATTCCCTTTCGTTAACTAGGCTTTAAACAGTCTCAGGGTGTCACTTGGACTTTGGGTTGTCTTCAAAACGTCTTCCCTCTTTTGGAGCCTAGCTCACCAGACCAGGCCAATCTCTGCAGAACAAATATGGGCTGGTCCAGCGCAACCAAATAACATTTCGAGAGGGATTTTCCTTGTGTTACAAGCCTGTCAAAGAGCGTAATGCAGATAAGGCTCGATCCTGCCTCTCACCTGCAGGAACTCCTGAGTGCCTGGTGCCAAAAGGCCTTGGGTCATGGTGAGCATAGGAGTGAGGAACTGGGCCAGGCCAATGGAGGTGCTAGATGAGTCTTGCCTAAAACGTGCAGACTTTAGGCCTCACCCTTTTAGGTGAGTCCCATTGGTCTCAAACCCTCTCTGGGACTGAGCAAAATCTATTTGGGACAACCTGCCTGCAGCAGAACCAGTTTTTCTTTGTGCATCAATTAGTCTCCTAGCTGTCCTTCCTGCCTTCAGAAGTCCCTCTGTGGGCTCCAAACAGTTTGGGAGTCTTCATCAGGGAGCTGGGCTCCAAAGGAGCCTCTGTGACCACCTAATTGCCACCATGTTGGCAAAAAATAAATTAGAAATGTGCATTTGTCAGAAGTATAATCCAGGTACATCCTACATTCTTCACTTGTGCAAAAACATACAAGCCACTTTCTGTCCTGATAGCTGCCTCTCTGTGGTACTTCTGCAACCCTCATCACTGCAGGATCCAAGTCCATCTCAGCCTGCAGGGTAAGGATTGAGGTGTGAGCAGATTGTGGGGTGGATTGAGAAAAACAGATGGTGATGCTCACAGGCTGACGCTCCCTTTGGCTGGGACATCCAAAACAGTGACCACTACCTCCCCCTCATCGGCACTCACGGCCCTCGAGCCACCTAATTCCATAGGCACGTCAGGATTTGGCAGTGGAATGCCCTGGACACCTCCTGCTCCTCGACAGGCCCCCAATGACGCAATGATGTGGTGTTTGGTAGCCATTTCTTTTAACAGCCTGCCCCAAGGGAGGAGCATAGTGGTCCTTACCTAAACACGGCAAGACAACCTTGCTTTATTCTCCTCACTCTTGCCCTTGACCCTCTTGTCTCTGCAAACCCAAAGACTGTGTAGCTATGTTATGAGATGTAGGCCCGCATCCTTTCTTCAAGGCACTTCAAGTACCTTCTTCATTTCTCTCCTTTATTGCCCTTGGCTAGGGCTAAAGAGGTGGGGATGAGAGGGACCTTAGCACCTGCACCTTGCATGGGACAAAGCCTTGCCCTCCCTTGACTCCCTCACCAGCCTTGCCCTGGGGAAGAAAGATCTGAGCCTCAGCACTGGCTTGGATGCAAAGCCACCTTCATACCATGCCATCTGAAGCCCTGTCCTGTCGTTTCCCAGCCCTGACAAGCAGTAACACTGACGTCAGCTTTTTGCTCTTCGTTGTCTCTCCTTAGTATACATGTCTGAGGCACGACTCCAAAGGCCAAAGGAAAGCAAGAATGTTGAAGAAAATACAGATATGCCTCTGCTTCTTCTTTGTCTCTGGCATTTTGTACGAGATATCCCTGCTGTCTGGCTGCATCTTCTCCTGTATTCCTCTGTCCAAGCGCTTCCTGACACCTGAGCAGGTTCTGAGCCTCGGCAACAGCATCATCTTTCTGGAGACCACAGAGCGCCTGGAGCCTCCTCCACTGGTTTCCTGCTCCGTGGAATCTGCTGCCAGGATTTACCCTGACAGGCCCGTCATCCTCTTCATGAAAGGACTTAATAATGAAACGGCGTTGGACTCAAACTCCAGCTACACCGCCTTCTCGCTTTTATCGTCTATGAACAATGTCTTCCTTTTCCCCCTCCAGATGGAAACTCTCTTTGAGGAAACCCCTCTGCTCCAGTGGTACAGCCAGGTAAGTGATATAATTGGGAGAAAATAGCTCTGAAGCAGGCTTAAAATGAATGGAGGAGAATGGGCATAGATGGTTTGCCCAGCTCTATGAAATTGCAGTCACTTTCATTTTGTTTGGTTCAGAATAGAACCATTTTTGCCACATTTTGCAATACATTCATCTGTCTTTTTATGGAACACATTATCAGTATATTTTCACTATCTGGAGAATAAGATCTTTGGCAAGCACAACACTGGCAAAAATAGACTGCATACGTGTTTTGATAAAACATCAGTTAATCATCTTATTCAACAGATGCTTGTTTAACAAAATGTGCTGTCCGAGTCATCTGAGTGCTTGTTAATGCTGCCACACACTGATAAAGCCTGTGTTAGATTGTATGGGAGAGAGATTTCGGTTGTCATAAAGGCAAGGGCAACACCAAGGATGGGAGCTTTCAAGCTCCACCCAGAAAATAAGCTCCTTGCAAACTGCTTGCACGTAGGGTTTGGGAAGGTTGTTCCGCTCCATCCCTGTGCAGGGCAAGCGTTCTTCAAGCTCTTGCAACTCCCACGAAAAATTTACTGCGAATAGTAACAAAGCCAGTGAAAGCCCTTCAACCTATTTCAAAGAGCTGTGAGTGATGAGGCAGCGAGTGTGTTAAATGAGTTGTGTCGCACTGAAATAGCAGCCCATGATTCACAGTATTATTGATTTAACATTTTGGAGTTCCTCAAAAAAAACATTAAATGTTTCTACATTCATTTATATTTATAAAAGCATTGTTCTGAGCTCCCCCATTACCTTATTCCAATAAAATTTAATAGCTGTAAAAAGAAAAGGCTGTCGCTGACATTTACAGGCATTCAGAGTAGGTTCAGTTTTACAACGCAGTTAACAGGACAGGAGGAGGCGGTTAGTTCTCTGTCAGCAGCATCGTCATTTCACATCTCCAACTCTTGCAGGTAAACCCAGAGCAGGAGAAGAACTGGGTTCACATCAGCTCCGACGCCAGCAGACTGGCGCTCATTTGGAAATATGGGGGGATCTACATGGACACGGATGTCATCTCCATCAGGCCTATTCCAGAGGCAAGCTTCCTGGCGGCACAGAAGTCCCAGTTCTCCAGCAACGGGATCTTTGGCTTTCCTTCCTATCACAGATTTATTTGGGACTGCATGAAGAATTTTGTTCTAAATTACAATGGGAAAATTTGGGGCAACCAGGGGCCCTTTTTAATGACAAGGATGCTGAAAGCCATCTGTAATCTCACAGATTTTGTAGGCCTCGAGGACCACAGCTGCCAGAACATCTCCTTCTTAAATCCTCAACGTTTCTACCCCATCCCGTACCCAGCCTGGAGAAAGTACTATGAGGTGTGGGACAAAAGTCCTAATTTCAACCACTCCTACGCGCTGCACTTGTGGAACTTCATGAACCATAACCGGAAAGCAGTGGTCGCGGGGAGCAATACACTGGCGGAAAAACTGTACAAAACGTACTGCCCTACGACATACAGGGATCTGATTCAAAGAGCAGAAAAGAGGGACTTCACGCAGTATAAAAACTCTGCTTGACGTGACGTAGGAGAGCTGGGTGATCCTTCCAGCCCTCCTCGTCCTGGGGCTAAAACACGTCGTGACCATTGGTATCAGCAGCCTGTTCAGTGGTAGAGACCTTTCATAACCGCTCTCCTTGTTGCCTTAGGACGCTGAGGAGCATACGCAGAACCGTGGTGGGTATCTATCTGATGTGATACTGAGGACACCTTTGCCTGAGGAGTTTTGGGAATTCAGTTCTGTTTTCTTAGAGGTGTTTGTGAACCAAGCCTTCACGGACTCAAAGGGACTTGCAGGCCTTACTGGTGAGCTTTTTAAAGGAAAAAGTTCCAAGGAGACGCATAACCTCCTGGTAGGCCGTTAGGAAGCATCTCTGCATCCTTTTGCACTATTGGCAGCTATACATTTCATAAAAAGTCCCAAACACAACAGGCCTTGGACTTAGCCGAGTACTCCAATGCAAGTGTAATGCAAGCGTATAGCAGTGTATGGACAACAGTAATCGCTAAGGAAGAGCAGCCCAAACTGCTACTGTCTTTTCATTAAGATAGGCTGTTTTTTTCTGACATAAACTTTACACCCTACATTTTTGAGAGGGACCTTATAAATGTATGTAAAAATAAATGGTTAATAAATCACCAAGCCTCTGAGAGTCTTTCCCCCTGCATTCCTCTGGAAAATGATTGCTATTTTTTCAAATGCTTTTTCCTCCTGCACTTTGACTTGGGCTCCTTCCAGGAAGGCGCCGCATTTCTTCATCCTCAGGAGTCAGCTCTGTCTGTCTCCTGCAATCGCCGGGTCCAGAAATGAAGAATCACATTTCCCTTTTTACTCTCAGTTGAAGAGGAGGTGCTGAGGCACCAAGAAAACAGCAGGACTGACCCTCCAAGGCTCCCTCTGAGGCAAAGGGATTGCTAGTATCTTTGAAAATACGGTGCAGCAGCTCGACAGCAGCCCCAGTCACGCTCAGCTGGCTGTGCCACCTTCTCTGCCTTATCTCCCTTTTGGGTTCTCTGACGCACCACTCCCTGCCTGGGTTGCACTTTTTTGTGTCTGTTCTCCTTCCCTCTTTCTGGCGTTTTCCTCTCCCGCACCCAGAAGGCCTCGGGTCCCCGGAGAGTTTGCTGGGGCTCAGGCGCCGGCGTTCCCGCAGGCTCCTGCAGCTTCCAGCCGCGCAGCGCAAATCCACCCAAACCCTTGACAAGCCCGACTTGTGAATCCCTTCTGAGTCTGTCTCAACAGCTGTTTATGAGCCTGGAGTTGGGAGCAGAAAGGCGGAGGCGGATCGGTAGTCCGTCATCAAATGTTTGCCATCCGTACAATGCTATCTTTTGTAAATATGGCAGCTAATGAGCATGTTGCAATCTGCAGCCTCGTTTCTGCAGCTAGAAATAACAACAAGATTAACTGGAAAAAGAAAGCCCTCTGCGCGCGACGGGGTCTACGAGCGCTTACCGCTTACCGCACGGGGATGCGGGGCGTGATTCTCCCGCCAGCCCCTCGTTGGCTGCAGCGACCACGCTGAAGTCGCTCCAACTGCAAGGGCGCGAGCGCAAACGGAGCCCAACCAAGTGTTTCAGGTGGTCAGAGCAACAGCGTGCCGCGGGGGAGGATTTTGCCCCTTCCCTTTCGGCGGCGTGGGTTTCACCCACGGTGCTGCCCACGGAGGTTTGGATTTGCTCTGCGCTGTGCTAGCAGGGGAGTAGGTTTTGCTGAATCCGGCCTCATGAGCGGCTTTAAATGTCCCGGGGCGAGGGGAGAGGGAGGGGAGGAGTGTAGGGTTACAGCCCAGAGAGCCCTCCCTGTTTTGCGCCCGGCCCTGGACAGCCCCTCTCGCTGCTTTGAGCCACTTCTAACTGTCCACGCTCATCGCCTCGGTCTTATCCTTGCAGGCTCTTTGCAGTTGCTCCCTCTGGGAAGAAGTAAGTGTTTTCTTTTTTCTGCTGCTCCTGTAGCTGGGAAAATGAAAGGCAGCGTCTATGCAAGGGAGGGATGGTGCCGGGGGAAGTGTTTCGGCTTGAACTGTTTGAGGTCCCTTTTCACATTAGCTCAGCAGAGAAACATTTCCGAGGCTCTGCTTGGTTACGTATTAGCCGCCTCCGTCATCTGCCTAGTCCTGCCCAGGCTGACCGCTCTCCCTTCGTTGTGTACGCGGTCGGGACATGTAGTAAAATGCTGATGACACCAAGCACAGCTGATCTCAGTGCTGCTCTCAAGTGAGGAGGTTTTCCCTGCATCCATCTGAGAGAAACGCTGCTGCTCCGAGCGAGTCCCGGCAGCTCTGCAGAAAGCGATGTTGCTGTGGGGAACGCCGGATTTTGGCAGGAAAAAAAGAAAGAGGTGAAGGCTGCTTTCATTCAGGGTGTGGAGGAGCTAGGGAAGCTGCCCGAGCAGTTTGCATGGAGTCCAGGGCTCCTGACATCTCTGTGCTCCAACAATAAGGCGTTTCTTAATGTTTGCAAACTCCCAAATATGCAAGGGAGCAGAAGGATGCTGTCGCTGAGGTGAACTGTGGCACCTTTGTTCTTTGTAGGGTGTGAAGAAGTCCATGAAAAGTTCAAACAGGTGAGGGAGGCCCCCGGGTGGAGGTGGGGAAGGGTGGAAGAGAAGAGAAGGGGGAGAGATTTTCCTACCAGAGGCCGAGGGTCATGAAGAAGAGGACCATGCAATGGCTGTTAACTGGTAGAGCGAACGTCCTGGCTTCCTGAGCCAGGGACGTCATGAAACCGGCATCCCCGTGTCCCCTCCACCTCCTCGCTGTGATGATTGCCAGCTTTGCCACACCAAAGCGGCAAGTCCCTGTGCCCCAGGGCTGCCTGCTAAATGCAGGACTGGAGTTTTAGGGTCACCCTTTTGGCAGCCAACCCCTCTCAGGGGACACAGTTACCCTTGCCCAGGGACCCAGGACCCAGTTACCCTCCCAGGTCCGGGGAGCCCAGAAAATGCACTGTTCTTCAGCTTTTACATGACGAGGATGTGCACTTTTGCAGCTCCCTAATCTGTTTGCCAACGTGGAATATGAAAGCTCATCACACTTGCTGAAAGCCAGCTCTATCAGCATTTTGATGGAGCTCGTTTTTGCACAGCGGAGTGGAAATGTTGCATCTGAGCTCCCTGAACATCAGGCTACGCTGCCTGGTACTGGTTGCTACCTTTATGACGGACTCTGCGTCCCTCAAAGCTGCTGCCTTTACCAGCCACCAGGCAAAATCTTAGTCCTAGTGAAGGTCATAGCCAAATTTCCCTCATCTGTGATGGGGAAGCCTTTTGCCAACAGCTCCTTCACACCAGCTGAAGTAAATTAACATTGCACCATGGAAGTCAAAAGGCTTCTACTGATTTACACCAGCTGAGCATCTGTCCTCAGTACATTCAAGTAAGAACTGAAGAGAAGAAATAAATCTTTGGAGCTGGGTTCCTGGGTTGCCTGATGGTTTGGTTTTACTGTGCCAACAAATGTCCTCCTGAAGCTGTGGTGGCACTGGCTCAGGCTTTGTATGCGGCATCATGCATGAAAGAGCTGGAAGAAAACGGAGGGGAAAACACACCAGGCAACGGGACAATCTCTGCTAAACAACAAGGCGACGATGATGGCTGGGTTAAATGCTGCTGCCTTTGGTGCATGGAGAGGTTGTTAATATTAACGAGGTTGTGCAACGGAGCCTGCCCCCAGGGGTATGTGGTAGATCATTTGGGGACTTTAATTTGTGCTCTGGCAGAGAACAGGGCGATTGCTGGGAGGGAGGGAGCCGCAGCTAGAGCGGGGCTGGTTCCCCAGCCAGGGCTTGCCCAAAGGTTTAGCTCCTACATCTCCTGCTTTATGCCAATGGGCAGCTTCCTCCTCTGCTTTGCCTGCCTGTGGTGGGAAGGATTTGGGGCTCTGAGGTGAGCTGGCGGCTGGCAACCCTGCCCAGGGCGTTTGATGCTGTTGCTCGTTCTCATTTCTGACCGTGCAGAACTTGGCCCAGCTGCAGTGTGGGGCACCGAATAATTTCTGTGCCATGTGTCTGCCCACCTCAGCCTTTGCCTCTTCTAGAAAATCTCCATCCAGCCGTTCCTAGGCCAAAATCCTCTGCCTTGCCTCAGTTTATAAAATTACAACCCCCCTCATAGCAATTCTGGGATCCGGGGCAAGGACTTGACTTCCGCCAGCAGCAGAGAGGTGGGATGCGGGACCTCCCCTCTGTGGGCCACCCAGCGGGGTAACCCTCCTTCTAGGGTCTCCCACGGCGAATCCAGCCCAGCCCTGACGTGCTGGTTTATGCTCTGAGTGAATCCCGTCCCTATCCATCGGGCGCGTACGTATGCGCTCGCATAGACGAGTACTCCTCGAGCTTTTCCTAGGAGAGAGCCACGCGATATTACGCGAGCTGCCCAGCTTCGGGAGGCCCGCGGCTATCTCTGCTGAGTGGGAACGGTCCTGTTTCCTACCCGGGTAACTAACTGTAGCAGCTGGGAGCTGATAACCCCAGGGTAGAGGCTTTCCCCGGAGGTTTCCGTTTCGTGGCGCGCCGGTAAACAGAGCGCTGCTTAGCAGCCCGCCGCCCGGATGGCGCGGCAGCTCACCCGGGCCGTCAACAGGGGCTCCGGGGGCCCGGCGCGGCAAGGCCCGCAACCC